TAAATATAAAAAGGTTTCTTGGAAACTAGCATGCCTCATTTATTCCTTTTTGTCATCCTCGCCTACCTAAATAAAAATGTCTGTGCTCTGTCTTTTTTATTCTTCACTATCACTCCCAGCTCAGAGATGTGAAGAATTTACAGATCTGAATCTCTGTCACGCATTAATCGGAACCAACCTCAAAGTCCGGTTGTTGCTGTACACCAGGGAAAATGTCACCTGTGCTACACTTGTGTCCCACGCCAACTTCTCCTCACATCCCCAGTTCAACCTATCCAGAACAACCGCCTTCATCATTCACGGGTACCGGCCCACGGGGTCTCCACCGGCGTGGATACAGAAGTTCTCAGACATGCTTCTGGCCAGGGAAGACATGAACGTCATAGTGGTGGACTGGAACTACGGAGCTGCTAATGTCAATTATTTCAAGGCAGTGGAGAACACATACAAGGCAGCCGACAACCTCACTGCTTTTATTAAAATTATGCAGGTATGAGATGCATCTGACATTACCTGTGACCATCTCTGCTGTGTTGTGAGTAACAAGACTAACGGTGGATCTTTTTCAGGAAAATGGCGCCTCTCTGAACTCCATCTACTTGATCGGAGTCAGTCTTGGTGCTCATATCGCAGGCTTCGTAGGTGCTAACCTGAATGGGTCTATTGGAAGAATTACAGGTAAGAGTTCAAATACTTTTTTTTTGTTTCAGATTTCAATCACCCCTCAGATATTCGCGAGATGGCATGTGATGTGATCTGGGTGTTGACATTGCCATAACTCACTGTGAAACAGCACAATACTGATGATAATCATTCAAAACCGTTATGCTAAAATCTCTGTTTCTTTTATTCACAATGACAAAACAGCTACACTATTTGTTTTCTTCCATTTACATGACAACTGTAGACAATTATATGTTACATATTTTTAAGATGTATGTTAAAATGTACATCAGAAATCTCGCACATTGCCTCCAACAGTTTGTTAAACTATGTAACATTTGAGCACCTTTCCTCTGCGGGACCACAGATGTCCAGCTCAGCACTGCTGCAAAGGAGTAGGGTATACACAATTAAGAAAAAGAAAAGAAAAACTGGCCTGACTGGATATCTGGAGTTCAGGCATATAAAACAGAAACAGGACGTGGTGGTATCAACATACTTCTGTGTTACAATGAAAGATGTCTGGAAAAGAGAAACACTGGTCAGCATTTATTAGAAAATAATCAACACAGCAGAGGCAGTAGTGATGATTTAGAAAAAGGGAAAAGCTCTTTAAATTAAGAGATCTAAATCATGACTAAGCTATTTCTAGCCCCAGTCAGCTAATCTTGGTTTGAGAATAAACTTGAAGCTCTACTGTCTGCAGGTCTGGATGCAGCCGGGCCTCAGTTCACCGGCAATCCTCCAGAGAAACGACTGGACCCCACGGACGCACAGTTTGTAGATGTCCTGCACACAGATATAGATGGTCAGTTAAACTGAAATACTATATATTATATTCACTCTATTGTTTGTCATACAAGTTGGTATTTTTCTCTTCACATCGTCTACAGGCCTGGGCTTCAGGGAACCTCTGGGTCACATTGACTTCTACGCTAACGGGGGAACAGATCAACCCGGCTGCCCAAAGACCATGTTCTCTGGTAAGGGCTTTCAAATTATGGAGGTATAAGAAAAAAAAACTATAAATGTATTATCTTTGAGTGAAGTAATGTTGATTTTAAAGGTCACCTATTATGCAAAATCCACTTTTTCGTGTCTTTTATACATAAACATGTGTCCTCCCCTCTGTGTAAAGAGATTCTGAAAGTTTCAGGAAAAAAGATTCGCTCACTTTTTGTCCTGATCCATTTCTATAAAAACCTGAGCTGATCAGATTTTGGCCACTTTATGATGTCATAACGATTTTTTGGCTTGTGTAACCATTAGCCAATAACCAACCAAGGTAGCACCCCCCCCCACCCCTTATCACCCGAATCTTCTCCTAGAGCACCATTGAGGTTCTTTGTAACCAAATAGCTCTCAGAGGGGCGTGGGGAGTGGCTCCTTATTTTCATCTAAAGTAACAGACAGAGAATCAGCACTTTTGAAACAGGGTAGAAACAGAGGGGATTATGGGATGCTGCAATTCATGATTTGTTTGGTATTTCAAGCCAAACACTTGAGAGAAATGTTTTGTATGTAAGATATTGATGAAAAACAGTATAATAGGGGACTTTTAACACCCCTCATGAGGATTTCTATCATGGTTACAATTCTGACTTACTGTGCAGGATCGTCCTATTTTAAATGCGACCACCAGAGATCAGTGATGCTCTTCCTTGATTCTTTGGATCGGACGTGTACCAGCCGGGGCTTCCCCTGCTCCTCCTACAAAGACTTTCTGAATGGAAACTGCTTGAACTGTGAGGGCTTTGGTGCTGAAGGATGTCCTGTCTTCGGTTGGTGCTTTAATTATCTCTAACTAATAAAGTACACATATTTATGCTAGAATGGGTACTGGGAATGGAAGTCAGTGAGATTTAAAATTAGTCATTCCTGAAGCAACATATATTCAGAACTAGTGTTTTTGAGTAAAAGTAATTGGATGTTCTTTTTAAAAAAAAAAGGATGTGAGCTGACGCAGCTGTTTCACTCAAATGCAGGTTATGATGTCACAAAGTGGAGAGACGTCCTGCTGAAGCTGGGCCAAACTAAAACTTACTTCAACACAAATAAAGTATCTCCGTACTGCAGTAAGTAACAAAACACTCATAATCACAATCGTAATAGACAGAAACATATATATATGTAATATTATACTCACTTACTTACTTTAATAATATCATTGTGTGATTCTTATTTGCTAACTAAGCTTGGGAACATTCCTTATTAAGAACATTTGTTGCAGTGTTGTTAGTTACACTCCATGTGCACCAACAGTATGACCTTCAACTCAGGTGAACTGAGAACATCCTGATATGGCCTCCCTAACAATCCTTTCATTATCACCAAGCTTTACCCCTACCTTTCTCCTCTCTCTGTGATTAAATATGCAACCCAAACTCTATTCTTCGTCTTTCACTCTGCAGACTGTAGAAATAAAATACGACAGACAGCTGAACGGTTTGATTCTCTATTCACATTTGATAAATACGTTCCCACCACAATATAGCAGGACCCCGATGTGGTAATTTAATACAGCAATTTCCATATTGACATGTATTAGACATTTTTAGGGATTTACATTCAAGTGCATAGGCTACCATTATTTTTGTTAAATGATATAGGAACGTCCAGTCTTTGAACTGTTTGTCTGCAAACTTGATAATTTGTGAATTTATCCTATATGAACTACAAGATAAATGTTATCGTCATCCATATTTTCTTCACGCTGGAAATGCAGCAGCATATTTCCATCAGTTCAGAGAATATCTTTCATAACGTTTAACCTGTATGTGAGTTTTTCCATTATTAGAATATCCCGGTAATGTTCAGCCATCGTCTGTAGTCTGGTGCATCAAGCTTAAACCAGTTCTTATTGACAGTTATCAAGGCGCTTTTTTTATTATCCACTGTGGATAATTAGTTTGAGGTTCAACAGAATCGAAAATTACAGAAAATTGACTGTACATTTTTCAAAATTGAAAATAATTTTCAATTTAATCTGACTGTTTGGCATTATTTATTATATTTTGCTCTACGAGTAGACGTTATAAGAGGATGTATCATTTAATGTCAAAATGGTGAACGGATTGATTTGTAATAAGAAATGTAATCTCCTAGCAACAAGCTACAGGGTGGATGTGATGATATGGAACCAGGACGTCCGCTGGGGATACATCACTGTTAAACTCCATGGTAACGGTAAAGAAACTGTGGCAACCATTAACCAGTAAGTCCTCACTTCATGTATTATAACTTCTGTAACAAAGATTCCCCAAACATCTCTCTTCCACTCTGTTAATGGTTTGGTAACCTCTTCATTTTTTCATATATTAGCAGAGCATCCCAGTTCCAGAAGTTCACAGAGACCAAGTTGTTTGCCCAGTTTGACAAAGACCTTCAGTCAGTGAAGAAAATGTCTCTCAAATTCTCCACTGGGAACGTGTTGAAGCCCAAATATAAGCTCCGGGTTCTCCGAATCCGTCTCACACACCTGGAACGCAAGGAGAGGTATGCAACATATTCATACTAAATGTTATCAATGTCTAAGGATTTGTATCTATTTGACATTGAATTTGAAGACGTTCAGTAACATTAACGTGCTCCTTCACAGTTTCTGTCGATATGATGTTATTCTCGAGGAAAACAAAGAGGTCACCTTCAGGCCAATTCCATGTGAAGACTCCAACTTCTGAGACCACCTTGTAAATAAATATCAAACTAAGCTCGTCCTGGAAGCGATTCAGCCGACTCATCAGTCTCTCCAGGATTGTAAGGAAAACAAAAGGGCCGCCATAGATAGTACTCACCTGGCTGTGATGTGATCATTTGTGATCTTAAACACATTTTTGATATTATGTGTTCTTAAGAGATAATGTATGTTTTTTTTTTTTACATTTTGCCCCAATAAGGAATTATTTGCATCCCACTGTGAGAATGAGATTTTTTTAAATGTATTTGAAATTGAAGGAATCTCATGATGACAGCTTTATATATATACTGTCTTTGGATGACCAGCTATGTCAATATTGGGCTTTGTGAAACAAAATCTAGGTTGGTTTTAAAGATAGTTTTTATTTGTTCTTGGTTTCAAGTGTGTTGTTTGTTCACATAAGTTATGACATTTATTTTTAGAAAGACAGTGAGACAGACCAATTTTAGTACTTTATAAGATCACACATTTCTAAGTAACTAAGTATTAACAATAATTGTCATAAAACAAAACCATGGTTTCGTGATTTTCTTACCATAAAAAGTACTGGGCTACTTTTCCAGATTATGTATTTTTTTTTTAATCAAACGAATGACTTCACTAGTAAGTATATATTTATTTGTGTTTTTTTAATCATTTTTAATAAATTGTCAAGTTAACATGTTTATTGAATTTACAAATACACAACACTATTCAATGACTTCAGTCAAAAGTTATTTATTAATTACATGCACCTTATATACAATAGAAGCTTTGTGTTTGTGTCTCCTTTACATTTTATAAGATATATTTAATGTACTACTGGCACTCATTTTATGTTCCCCTCTCTGTTTTCCACACGGTTGTAACAAACAATATTGCAACCAATTGAACACTGATTATCAACACTTTCAGGCCAACAGTCATAGGAGACACATTTCTTTACCTCCTCAACACACTAGTCATTAAAAGAAGTAAATAAATCAAACTGAATGTATCCCAGGGCCGTGCACTGCTCATTTCCAGAGATATAATAACAGACACTCCTCTCACCTCAAGTCTGCTCTCACTGTGAACTTTAGGCAATTACTCAATAAAAAGTCCTTCAGGCCAGTTCAACAAAAAAGTTGAATAAAATGACCACCGAAGAGAAGTAATACAAAAAGAATAATAATATTTTTCAACGAAAAAGAGCAAGGAGTTTTTCAAACATAGAAAAATATCATTTATCAGATATGTGTACAACGGGACCTTTATAACTCGTCTTTGATGAAGGTGAAGTTCTCCGCTCATTTAGACATGTGCTTCTTCATACGTTGCATCTCCATCTGAAACAAAACAAAATCAATCCATGAGTGCAGTTGCAAGATAATATAATATTGTCACCTTAACGTTTTTCTGCACATTGATGCAGCTTCATCTTTTTAATCTTTGTAACCTGTATAGTCAAGCGAATCCTCTTCTCTTCATCGAGCTCGCTCATTAGCAGTTTAATTTCTTTGCTGGAACACAAGATATTGTCCGATTAGTGCAGCAAAAACAAACACAGACAGTAGGCCTAATGCAGGGATGCAAGTGGTGGTCTCAACCCACCCGGAAGAAACTGGGCAGGTAAATAAAAGATCTCATGTTTTAAAAAGCTTTACTTGTGCTGTCTCTTCATCAGTTGAAACTGGTCCCTCAGCTCTCTCAGCTCGCTCTGCACTTGCTCCAGGCTCGCTGGACTTCTGCTCTGCTGGGGGTCGGAGCTACGGCCCGTCGGATAGAGTACAGCAGAGAGAGCCTTTGGTAACAGGGAGGTGAAGGACTGGGTAGACACACTTTTGGGTGTTGCTGCCTGTAGAAAATAACCCATCATCACTGGCTTACAACACGAAAAAAAATCTGAAATATACATTTGAAGTGCCTAGCCTTTTCTTTTACACTTACAGGAAGGGAAGGCCCATTTTGGCTCATTTCCTGAGAGTTTTCTTGAAGTGATGAAGAATCAATTTCTTGGCTCTGCTTTTGTTTTTCTTCCTCCTCCATCATGAGTGCTACCTGTAAATGTAGTTTAGTTTGAGATATCTGATCATTAAAGGACATTTTAAGAGTAGTTCACACAATGGCAGTATGCAAAAGAAGTAAAATCCAAGTAAATTTCTAAGAAATTATTACATTTTAATTTAGTTTTGAGTAAATAGTTAAAGGGGTTCAGGTTCACATGTATATTTTGTGCCTCTACTGTGAGATATTTCCATGCTTTAATGTTCAAAAAGCTCTTTATTTTTCTCATACTGCCTGTGCTGCAGCACCTCTTTTCACCCTCTCTCTGAAACCAGAGCCCAGTCTGCTCTGATTGGTTAGCTGGCCGGCTCTGTTGTGATTGGTCAACCGCTCAGATATGTCCAGCCCCTTAGCCTACTTAGTGTTAGAGCGCTAGCCAATAGCAGCGCGACTGTTACATATTGATGTTACAGAAGTAAACAAAGTGTATGAGAGAGAAACTCCCTCTGGAGGGAACTTTGGGATTTTAGCCTTTGTAGACCATTTACATGCACAACAGCCTATATCATACACTACAAGAAAAAAGAAAAGCATAATAGGGCCTCTTTAAGGTATCTTTCACTGCGGTGCATGACTGAGTGTGTGAGGCAGCTCAGAAAAGTTAAATGTATCCCAAGGACAGATGGGACACAGACACAGCAGACCAAACACTTTCTTACAGTGAGCCAAGTTATGATAACTGTATAATACAACTATTCTGGATGAATATAATTTAATGGTATACTTTCCAGTCTGAAGCTCTGACTGTAAACTAAGCTCATATCTGCAGCTACCTGCTCATTCAGCCTCTCTGCCATCGACACCACTGAGTCAAACTCTTCCGTGACTTTGAGAGAAACAGAAAATAAATGTTACAAAGAGTGGTATATGGAGAATGTATTTTCAATCTGTGTCATTCAAAGCCTGCATTAACATGGAGCAGTCAAGCATGGTAGTGTTTCAAAGTATGTCGCAACAGATGGTTGTAACAATAAGAGTTGCAAGTCTTACCAGGAATGAGGGCAGAGCTATAGTTGCCCATCGTGAGAGAGAGGAATACAAGTGCAAGAGTCTTTAAGTCTACATCTACAAATGACAGATTGGAGCAAATCAGTAGGGAAAACATTCACAGAAACTCAATGCATTCTCATATCATGCTAAGAAATTGAAATTCATTAGGACAAAAAAGTAATTCCATTTGTTAAAATATAATCAATTCATAAAATAAACTTCAGTTGAATCATTAATCTTAGTTCTAAATAAGGGACACTAAACATGGGTTCACTGGTGGCAGCTGCCCCTCTCCCTCTCATGCCACAGCAGGGAACAAATGTGCAACACATGCTGGAACCAACGCACAGCGAGGAGCAGTGACAGGTTATACTGTACATTTATTAGTTAACAAAGTAAACCAATTACCAGATTATTGTCACAGCCAAGGATCTGGGGCACACACTCACCTTGTTTGGCCGGCGACAGTGGTGAGATACAGCAGCATCTGTGGTAACACGACACCGTCCATTGTAACCCAGTGCTGTGAACAGTCTGTTGTGATGAGGAGGGCTACTGTCAGACGGCTAAGTTTAGCTGCACTCTGCTCACAAATATCACCGGGGCAGAGCGAAGGGCGAGGGGTGTGTTTAAAGGGACCAACTGGTGCGCAGTTATACAATATGTCATATTTACACTGGGCAGGAGAACTGCTTTTATTCATTGTGAGCCTCAGGAAGTGTTTTCATTTCCAAACAATGCTCAAACAGACACTGCTGATTTACACAACTACTTTTTGCTTATCACGAGGAGCCTCAAGCAGTGAACTAAGCTATCTGAGTCTCTGGAGTTTTAGAAAGCAAGGGGAGCTAATGATATAAACAATTGAATTGCATCATGGGAGATTTTAGACCCATTATTTTGGAGCTTGGCCGATAAAGGGGATTCAAGTCGACTTATTTCAGTCCCCTAACCATCCTGGAAATATTTTACTTAATTATAATTTATATCAATAACCATTCAAACCGTGTAGACACTCTAAATAATGAGACTTATATACTCTCCTATCGACGATTTCACTGCTAAAACAGAGGTTAAGAAACCGATCTTATAGATAAGATTACAATTCTTAAAAATATCATTATTGTTGACAGGAAGTCTGTTAGTCCGAATCTACAATTTACTACTGCCTCGTGGTTGTATTCCCGATAAGTAAATCAATGTCATCACTTTTGATTTTAATCCTTATAGATATTTGTTTTGAAGTTGCCATAATTAGCAAGTTAATACTCGAGTTAATTACTAAATGAACATGATATGCAAGGTCACAGTGACCTTGAACCACCAAAATGTAATCAGTTGATCCTTGACATTTGTGCAACAAAATTTGAAATCCCCCAGATGATGATAGGTGACAACGAGAATAGGATGCACCGACAACCTGACAGACATACTTCCTCTGAACACAGCGGTCACCGGCATGGAGGCATTGAAAAAAGAAACCTTAAACAGAGATTGGTAAATTGGACTTTATTTCAAATCTCAAACATGTGATTATACAAGCTTTACATGTAGTAGCTGAACGCCCTTTGAAAGGCTGCGGTTTTCTAATCCAACCACCCATGATTAAACAGGACATGTGATACATCTTTACAAACAGTAGGTGACATTTTAAAGTACATTTTTAAATGGACTTCGAATGCTGCTGCGGGTAAACAAAACAAAAAACTATTCTAATAAAAGGATGACTGCCACAATCACAAGCAGCAACTCCCAAATAATTATACACGACTAAAAAAAGCAGGACTGTTTAATATATTGGCATATGTTACAAATACCCTAAAACAAAAAGTACCTTAAAGATGCCACTGAAACCCTTATACCAGTGAACATCTGGAAGTAACATCTCTTCCACAATATACAGGCAGGTTGGGATCGTAGTCGGGAAGGTTTGTGCTGCCCAACCAGCGGAGAAGGTCTCCAGATGTTTCTGCTCTCATGTCTGAAGACTGTGGGACCTGTGCTGGGATCAAGAGAAAAATAAAGTTAATATCATATTTATTGTTCTTGATTAGGGCTGGGCAACATATCAATAATGTGATAGGCGACTAAAGATTGTGTTAGATTTTGAATATCCTTAGTGCCTTTTTTGGAATTAAAGGTTGCATTACGGTAAAGTGATGTTGATTTAACCAGACTTCTAGCTGTTCCGATTAATGCTGTCAAAATGATCGCGTTAACGACGGAAATACATTTTTTGAATTAATTCCGTTAAAAATATTTAACGCATGTGCAGGCTGGGGTAGGCTACACCCATACCAAGAAATGGCTTAGCCCCACCATGAAAAATGATGTTAAAGTAAGCAAAATAAAGTCCGCCAACTCGCGCCGAGAATTGCACAGACAGCAGTCAGTCAGATTGATTTCAGTAGCCACTTGTCTGGAAATACCGAAGACCAGAAACGGTTTTGAAAACTTTTGTCACGTAGTGATCGTCTTCTCAATAGAACATCTTTGATAATGTCTTCTGGCCAATCAGAATCAAGATAACGGCGTGGTGTTGTTGCAGGAAGTCCCGACGGAGAATACTTTTGCTGTAGTACAGGGGTGCACATAACTGGTACGCATGCGCGGCAACAATCTGAAATGCGTACCGTCACTTGTGTCACAAAGCGCATTTGCCTACCAACGTACTTGTGAAGGTTTTCCAGAAGGCGGTTAGACAGGGTATATGCAGGAATCATGAAGTCAAATTTAATACCTTTTAAGACCTTTTTTAAGACCCTTTCCATACATTTTAAGACCTCATCGCAACTTCGAGTTCTAACCGGTTACATTGGCGACACACTTTACCTCACATTTACTATATTGATTGAAAGATAGCACAACTAAACAGAGTGCAGACAGACTACTGAAGCCTCCTCTCCACATGAACTTCAACCTCTCTGTGAAGGTCAGGTTTAGTGCAGTATGCTGCTTTGTTGCTTCTGTACTCTGTGCTCTTTCATTCCAGTAGAACTCCTCAGAAACCAGAATTTGACCAATAAACAAAACAATTGACAAAACTTTGAACTATGAAATATATTAAACTTTGGAGAGCTTCAGCGGGGTAATGCCATATAGGAGCTCCCTCACAAATACCCAGGGGTTGAATTGGGCTGGGGCTGTCCGGGGCTAAGCCCGGCACACAGGACGATGCTCTGACGTCATCACCCTCACACATTTGTCATATGTTTACAAAAAACGATATATATGTTAAGACTTTTCTCGTTCTTAATATAGACTATATTTATATGTGTTGACCTTACTTTAAAATAGCAGATCTCTGTGACCGGATATAGTTTGGCTTAGACCCCGGCCCCACGAGGACGCATACAGTAAAACGCATAAGCAAACGCAAAAAAGTCTTCCGTTCACACGCATTCGATTCATTAACGTGTCCGTTCACACTAGACCGCTGGAAATGCTGGAAACGCTGTAGTACATATGCCAGGCCTGTAAGTGGCGCTGCTGCCGCCACAAAATACACCAAAAGCAGCGAAGAAGACTCCGGAGCATGGTTGTCATGGTTGCCCTTCTGTTTATTCTCCGCGGTGGACGGCGTGTTCTCCTGCTGTATATCTCTCAGGTAGTCCACCAGCAGATAACGTGTGCTTGCCTTCTAGTCTACTCTTTTGCCTTTAACCTTCTACTTGATATTGTATGGCTGTAATTTTCCTGCTGCGGGACAAAAACAAGGGGTTTCTGATTGTGATTATAAAGGATACCCTTAAATCGATAAATTCACATTTCTGATTAATATTTATCCAAATTCTTAATGTGTAAATACTTTGAGAAAACCTCAATCAGTGTTCAGGCTTACAAAAACATTGTGAATTTCTTCATATGGACCTACCTTGTTCTAGACCACATATGTCAAACTCAAGGCCTGGGGGCCAAATCCGGCACGTGGTAGAGTTAATTTCGGCCCGCAGGATAATTTCTAATTACCATTAGTTCTGGCCCGCCGGTATATTGCACATATTTTTATTTTGGCCCACTGTGTATTTCAGTTTGACACCCCTGTTATATAGACCATGTTTATTCATGATAAATCAATAATTCTATACAGCAAGAACATTCCAAACACAGCCATACTGCACATACAAAGTACTGAAAACAAAGAAAATGTTAAAATGAAGATTGACAGGTTTACACTAGATGGTAAATTGAAACCGCCATGCAGCCCCGTCAGAGTCACACACAAAATAAAAACTCACCACAGGGTGTCACCAGCGCTGGTTGGGCCCCCGGTTGTACGGCGCTCGCTGACGCATCACTCTCATGGTGCGGTATTTGGACATGATGCTGTAACTTTTTCTGAAAACTGGCCTCTGATTGGGGAAGGGACGTGTCACTAAGCTCTCCTTAAAAAACACAAGAAATTCAAACATCAGTTATAAGAGAAAATAAAGGAATCAATGATGGCATTACATTTTTTTCTAGAACAATCTAGCGATGACTGAAGGCAGTATGCGTACCATGAGCGGTCTTCTAAAATGTCCAGACATTTCAGGGCCCCCCCTCCCTCGACCACCAGTGAATCTGGGTCTCTATGAAACGGATTTAAAAGGCCGAGTTAATACAGTATGTTTATAACCACTTTAATTTATTTTACATCACATAATTTTCCAGTAGTCAAACAAACTTAACTTCATATATCTGCCATAACAAGGCAGCTGACAAACTTCAGTGGATATTCACAATAAATAACCGATTGCTCAGCTTCCATCATTGATGCTAATACACGTCCTCCAAAATATAGTTTTCAATAACCGAGTGTAGATTTTCCTGCTACCACATAGGCTGAATACAAAATGTTTTAAGAACATGATATAGCTTCAAACCTTTGACAGCTCAGTCCATTTAATTTAGTCATATTTGAGCTTTCAAAACACTTTAAATCACTGAAACATCTCAAAGTTGTGACTCAGCACTCACTGTAATGTATATATTTGAGTGACCAAATGTACTGCTATTTACTGCAAATGTTTAGCCCACCTGCATAGGTCCGGGTCCTTGTCTTGGTCCGGGTCCTGGTCTCCTGAAGGGCCTCCCAGATCTGTGGCTGTCGTGCATCATATGAAATGGCCTGCAGAGTATAAGGTAATGTCAGACACAGGATCTCGTCTGCAATGCTTTCATATTTCGACAATTCGAAACCACTGCAGGACCTTTTGAATTAGGACCTTGTTTGAAGACTGAGAAATGTTATGCAATGTACCTGAACGGTCTCTTATCCACAAAGCCTCGTCTTCGGTCTTCAGGCGATGATCTGGAATCATTCGACTTTGAGGCTCGGCTGTTCGGTGAGGCGTCTTGATCTGGACTGCGCTCTACAAAAAAAAGAAAAGATTAAACTGAGATAATGGGAGCTTAAGCTGATTGTTTGATTAAGAGTTAGATATAAGATAATAGGAGTCAACATTCTCTGCCATACTTACCAGAACAAGTAAAATTGAACATGCTAAACTTGCACTTTTAGAGTTATACAAAAATAGAAAATCCTGCTGTTACTTACATTTAAAACTGGTGTTTACTTTTTTTAACAACCACACAATAGTGCTGGACACAACCTTGATTTGGTGTTATACAATTACTGTTGATCGGTAGCAATATATTGGTCCTTTTGTAAAAAAAAATACGTTTTGAAAAACGGTATTTAGCTGTTTTTGTTTGATAATCTTACAAAATACAAATATTGGAATTCACATTAATCCGTTTTGAAATTAAATTTGATATTGGAACATTTTGTATAATAGTTATCGTCCCCTGTATTGTCCCTGCAATACACAAGGAAATGACCAATTACCTTTCTTTGGGCTGCGATCTTTCGTTGGCGAGCCGTCCTTAGAGGAGGAGTCCCAGTGGGACAGAACAACAAGGTCACGTTTCTCTATGGGAGAAGATCTGTGGACAGATCGGTGGAGACTGCGTTAATCTCTCATGTGAGGCTTTTGGCAGAGTAAGAACATATGAAATGTGGCCTGGTAATATTAGCATCACTTCATTCAAGTTATCAGACAGGTTTCAAGTTAATAAGTTAAATCACCCTGTCCAATCTCAGCAGTAATGCATTTTAAACCAGTAATGGACAGCACTGTTTTGCAGGCAGAACATTGATCATAAAGCCACGCATCACATGGGTACTTACAAAAAACATGGAATATCCATGCTCCTTTATTTTTGAACCCTGAATCAATCTGAGCACTCTTCGTTTACTCGGTGATTGTTAGAGCGGGCAAATCTTGGGAGACAACTTTTAGATATGGTCTACGTCACAAAATCATCCATCTCTCAGAAGCACGGCAGGACAATAGCTGGTTTAGTCGGACTGAACTTCAGACTGTTTTGTCATCGGG